GTTTGCTTGTTTTAATCAATTTTAAATCATGCTTTTTATTTGTTTTTGTTTCTAATGTCTCTGTAAAGCACTTTGAATCACCTGTTGTTGAATTGTGCTATACAAATAAACTTGCCTTACAACGTCTTCAGTAAACAAACTTTATTTTCATGTCATTTCACTCCCACACGAGCACCTTTAACCATTAACTGTCATCAACTTCAAGAAACTTTTAAAAAGTGTTTACGTGAAGATATGATGAGAGAGTCTTTGTCCTCTATTAAAAAGAGAAAATGATAAAAATAAAATCGCTTGAATATGTATTTTCCAAAGCTGCAGTTTAAATAAAGTCTTCTCCAGGAAAACAACAGAAACCTGTTTGGACAAAATGTTTCAAAGTGTGGAAACATTATAAATGATGAAAAAGGAAAATTCAACACTGAACAAACTGAGTATTAATAATCACACAATGGGATGTGACCCGTTTGAATGTCACATGCAGTATTTGGAGGTTGATTATTATATACCAGCGTTGTAATGGATGGAGAGGTGCGGAGACGTTTTTGTTCCTCCAAAGGTCACAGACATGATGCAGCCCACCTTCCTCCGAGCACAGTGGTGTTAGTGTTGTGAGTTAAAATGAAGTGCTTCCTACAGTTGTGTAAATGTTTGGCATTTTAAAATATATAATCAACTAGCACTCTCACATATGTAGCACACGTCTTAAAAGCATCCTGACAGACTGATAATGTAACAAATCATCTGGAATCTCAATAACTTAAACTGACAAAACAGATTATTTCTGATACAGATGTTGATTTAGTGAACAAACTCATCATTCTCTGCATATGTAAGGATTGAACAGTTATTTCAGACTAGCGATACTAGCATACTTCCAAAGCTGTCTTGCATTCCTAAAAGCTTTAAGTTAGTTAACAGGCGTTGTGTCACACCCGCTTTTTGTCCGATTCAGGTGATTGAGTTTGACGACGGCTCAGGCTCAGTGCTGCGTATCCAGCCGCTGAGGACCCACCGCGATGAGGCCATCTATGAATGCACCGCCACCAACAGCGTGGGAGAGATCAACACCAGCGCCAAGCTCACTGTCTTAGAGGGTAAGACCTGACTGTCTGTCCACATCTCACTGCCACTGTGACAGCCGTGACCCTGTGTGGCTCTGACATCACAGCTTGTCTTTGTGCATACAGTCAACACGCCGATCTCTCCGCTTCACTTCCTCTTTGTGTTCGGTTTTAACCATGTAGTTGGTCTTTAGTGCTGAGCTGTGTTACAGCCAGTGTTGGGGAGTAACGGA